ATGCTGTACGTTTGATGGAAGAATTGAAACATGTTTTTAAACTAAATTTTGATCAGTAATATTGCATTGTGAATCTGGGATGCTGTATTTAATCATATAAAAATATAAAATCCTAAAAACATTTATGCATTAGATTTGTAATGTTAAACTTAGAATAGGAGCTTTTTCAAGTCAGTAATTCCTCAATATTGAAGAGGAAATATTTGTTTCATTGACAGATTATTTTGCTTGAAGCAAAACATTTTTCACACCTTGTAAGTGAAATAAACTCCCAATGGAACAAGTACTTTATCATCAACATTGTGGAAATACTGACTTAAAATAAGCCCATATTTCTTACTAGTCATATTTGAAGCATAATAAAATATTTTGCAATAGAAACTTGATCAAAAATATTTGGTAATTTTTTGTGTTTTTGTTTATTTCTGTGCCTGGTGCCTGTGTGGTTTCAGCCTTAAAGTTTGCAGCTACATGTGACATATAAATGAAAACACACAGATATCCACATGCAGCAGCAGCCTAGAAGCACCAGGAGGAAATTCACTCAATCATGCATTAATAGCAGAGGAACAAGATGGTAGCAAAGCCATCCATGCACAGAAGCATGCAGGGATTCAGCAGCTGTACATTTTGTTCTCATTTCTGTTCTGGCTTATTCACACACATTTAATGCTATCTTTTTATGTTTTCCCATGCTCTCTAAATTAAAACCCAGCCTTTATGTAAATGCTCACACTCTAATCCACTTCTTGATCCAACCATCCATAACTTCTGAGAGTTTTTCTTTTAGTTTCCATGCTTCTTCCAGCTAAGCCTCTTCCAACTTTAAAATTAGTCCTGAGGCCTCCGCTGACCTAGAAAGCTGCTTCAAAGCTGAAGTGAGTTATTGCTAGCTCAGTGTGTTAGCTGCTCTGACATTGAAACAAGTTTGATACAGAAAAAAAACACAACAATACTGCTTCCATTTTTGTTTAGAAACTGACTTGGAATGAACTCAGATCCCTAGAAATCATTTCGCTTAGCAACAGACAAAACGGTTTTTAAACACTTCAGTTGTGATCTAAATTAATTAAGAGTTAGAAGTTTTTTTCAGTGCTCTAGCTGCCAACCCAATGAGCATTTTTTGTTTCTTAAACAATAAATAAAACCCAAATAATATATATTTTTTTGCAGATTAACTGTCTAAAGTAGTACCTTAGGGTGTGTCTCCATGTTACTTAGTAAATTTTGACAGTTTTGTGTACAATTTGCTGCAAGACGATCTCATGATTCTGACTGCAGTGTTTTGGAAGTACTGCATCAAATTATATGGAAAGTTCAGTGAAAGAAAAGTGTGGCACAAGGCTTCACCTCGACTATTTTCTGAAAATAAACTCTTGAGATCTATATATTGCATCAGCTTTATATCTTGAGCTACAATACTGAAGTAAATTAACTCTATGATGACATTCTGATTTATTAAGTTGCACTTGCGTGAAATTTATCTTTGCATGCAAGTCATACTGAATAACAAAGAGAGATGGTAATCATTTGCTCCATCAGTAATTGCATTTCAGAGTAATAGTGCCCAATTACATCAGACCAATACGTAGCCATCTACTACCATTTAAAGGAAAAACACCAATTCACAAGTAAAACACAGAGCTGCTCATGATCTCCTCTAATTAAGACTCTGACATCCTGTTTCTTTGGGGGGGATGTTCTTGCTGAAGCTGACGCTCTCATCTTTTACTCTGGAGCTCTCCCAACATACAGACTCCACCACAGGCAGTTTCTGATGACTCCAAGACTTTTGGGAATGACGCCTGTCACAGATTTCCACACAGCAAGTTTGTTACAATCAGACAAGCTAATGAGCCTTGAGCATCAAGATTACACAAGTGGAGGTTTGAAAGAGAAAGTAAAAATAAACATCAACATATGGCAAAGACAGAGAAAAAAATGAAAGGAACAATAACCAACAAGTAAATTCATAATCTAAGATATATATTTATGTATGCACCAACTTTAGCTAAAATGTTTTTAACCTCATGATTTGTCTTTAAACCTGCGATGATTTTATTTTGCCTTTGTATTCTTGTCTGTATTAGGGAGAGAAAATACTGCGCAATATCTGCAGTGTAATCCAATTTTAAATTTCTGTGTGAGTGTAATATAAATTCAGCATCATGCATAATGGAAGGACAGAAAAGATATGAGCTCGAACAATGTAATTTTGTGTGTCACACCTCATTTTAAAGTGTCGGTGCAGAGAAGACTGGTTTATATTTGAAAACTTTCTGTCATACCTGAGGTCATGCAAAATATTAGTCTTTTGCTTTGTGAATCTTGCTACTCATGCAAGATTTGGAAAATCTCCTCAAGCTGCAAGGAACAAAGACAGAAAAAGTTTAACTTCTCCTTTGTCTTCCAGCGAAGCACAGAGCAGCAGAATGTTTAAGAATAAACTCCTGTGGGTGTTATTTCCAGGCTGAGAGAGTCACTGCTGTTTTTGTGACTCCTCAGAAACACGTTAATAATGTAACTTGGTGTTTGCATGCAAAGTGTGTGATTAACCAGAATAATGAGATTGAGACAGCAGCGGAAAACTGAGCCAGCATCTACTGAGAGTTTAAAAAAAACAACATGAGCAAGTTTACCACACATTTATAGAAACTAAATAATTAAATAGAAGTTTCTTACAGAAAAGAAACTTCAGGCTAAAATACATGATTAGTCAACACCCAAAGTATACACTTTGCATGAGAATATAAACGAGAATATAAATTTATGTTGGAGATGACAAAGGACAATCATGCCTGTGTGCTGCATGCACACAGGCTTGATTGACAGCACTAAGACCCGTCTCCTGGCTTTGATTGGTTGATTCTAGTTAGCAAAGGAGCTCTTTTTTTTTTTTTTTTTTTTTTTTTTACAAATTATCTGTCTCATATTATACTGTCATGAAGTGATCACTTCAAAAATATATATTGTTAACATAATGCAGCTTTAATGGCACATAGGATGTTATATGTCATATCTGGGAAACATGAAAACTGCAAACCTCCATCTGAAATCCATTTTTTACTGTTTTAAATTCTTCAAATTGTTCCACAGTATGCATTTTTATCAGGCTAAAATATGCTGGTTCAGACTCATGAAAGAATATTTTTTTATATATATATAAAAATTAATTAGCAGTCCCCTCATGAATGTCTGGGGCTTGTTCTGGTACAATATGGCAAGCTCAAGACGTCAGCAGGGAACCTCAAGGTTAGAACTGTCTCATCAATTTCCATGCAAAGCCAGATGGCTCTGCTTTTGAGTTCTTCCTCCAGAGACTTTGCAAGTCTCTTCACCAGAGACATGCAGAGACCAAGGTGAAGACAAAGGCCCTAATAAAGACAAGAAGAGTGCCCTACTGAGGTCAATATGGGTGTGGGATGGATTTCAAATTTGCTCAAGAAGGCCCAGTTCTCATTATAATCTCTTATTTTTCTGTGGGTTGGAATTGAGTGCAGAAACAAAGGTTCAGGACTCGTCCTACCACACTTAAAGCACTGCCTTGTTTCCAGCCATTGAGCCGGAAAGAAGAGCCAATATCTCAAGAGTAAGAGCGCACAGACGGAGTCCCAAGAGAAGGCAGCGAGCTCAGCGTGCAGACTGACTCTTCAAATGAGTCTGTGTAGCTGTCGGACTGGAATCTTCCAGTTTAAAACTTTCCCAGTCGACCCAGTGAGACCATAAAACCAGAAATAACAAACTCAGAAAATTTAATAACATATCCTGTAAACTCTATTTCTCAAATTTGCAGGAATATTTTTGCTTTACTGCAAGCTTGATAAGAACTTAACATGAAATATTTATCATATTTTATGTTAAAAATCAAACATATATATGACTTTTATTTTGTGGTCTTCAAACAAATATGATTGATTGTTGATTAAAAAGTAAGAAATATTTAAGATGTTCCCATAAAACATATATATTGTTTCTTGACATCTGCATGAGCGATATGGCTTCTCACACTCATATAAAATATGCACCCTTTACAGAAATGATTCATTTCAGTGTAAATAAATAATAATCTTACCGTAATACCTCTGGCAGTGCACACAAACCAAATATTTCTATGTTTAATAAAAGTTCAGACTTCCTCTTATCACAAATAATTATGTTTTCCCATCTTCACACCTCATCTTTACATAAAATCATAACATTTTATTTTCATCGATCAAGCATGAAAATAAATGCACACAGATCAGCCGTGTCAGCTGGTACCAGTAGCAAACAGAAAATGTTTTCTTAGTGAGGATAGATTGGTTCTTGGCACAGCTTTAAAACTGCCTGTGGATGTTTTCGTAAGCACAGACTCACTGAGTAATGACTTCATTTGCTCAGCTCTCTGGTATCTCTTTAATCTGAGAGATGATTGCATCATCAACAATAAACTCCATTTAATTTCAAGTTTTGGATTGATGCGATAAGATAGCACTTCATTAAAAAATATCCTAATGATTTCAAGACAGCTGAAACACTTCCTTGCAAAAGTATTCATAAGATTCTTAATATTTTATCATATTACAACAACAAACTTGATGGTAGCACACACTTTAGTGTGTATCATAATCATAAATTAGCAACAAGTTGAGTCGCAATGGGCCCTTGTTTTTGTATTTCAACAGCCTTTTGTTCAGGCCTTGATCCAAGGTCAAAGTGTACTCTTTGCATGAGAATATAAATTTCTGTTGGAGATGACAAAGGACAACAAAGCAATCAGGAGAATTGTTAGTGAAATTACAGCGTCTCTTATCTCTGGGTCGTGATTGTGGCACTTGTTCCATCTATTGCTCCTGCTTTCTGTCAAAGCGAGATATTGCTGCTGTTTTACCGGCTTGAAATTTGAATTATAAAACTATTAAATGTACCACTGCTCCTATAAGTTATGCAGCACCAAAAATAAGAATTGTTTATTGCTTTCACTGACGTAACCGTCTCTTTTCTCCTACTTCTGTCAACAGGGGCCACTAAAGACATGGGCAAAATGCTTGGTGGAGAGGAGGAGAAGGACCCTGATGCTCAGAAGAAAGAGGAGGAGAGGCAAGAAGCACTGAGGCAACAAGAAGAGGAGAGGAAGGCAAAATATGCGAAAATGGAGGCAGAGAGGGAAAACATCCGACAGGGCATCAGGGACAAGGTCAGGAAATACATCTGGACATTTTCTGTATGTTTTTGGTCAAAATGTGAAATAAGGAGCTTAAACTTACCAAATTCTAAACCAAAAATAAAAAAGAAATAATAAAACGTAAGATATTTTCTCTTTTTTTTGTTTCAGTGCAATAAATTTGTCATTCAACTCTTTTATTCATGAATTTAAATTAGCTAAAGGTTTTTTTTTGGCTCTATCCCTGGTCATAATTTACAGATTTTTACATCCAAGGGTCTTTAAATGCAGACATGGATGACTTTTTTTTCTGGGCAGAATAAAAACATGTTTTCCATCTCATCTCCTGCTGAAACTGACAGCAAGAACTTGCAAGAGAAAAAGATACAACAGTTGATTTTACCTGTCTGCAGTATGTTCTGCAGCCTCCTCACAGTTACACCGTGTGGGGCTGATGTCCAGTCAAAAATGATAAATTACCAAAATTATCTCAGAAAGCTGAGCCTGCCATAAATGGTAGCTCCAGCAGTTACAATTTTATCCTGTAAAAAGCATTTCATGTGCTCTATTGCTCATTAATCCTAAGTTATTGTGTGGAGAAATCAAGCAATAATTACAAATCTGCAATATAAGCATTAATATTATTAGAAAATAAAAATAAGGGTAATCCATAAAGTGGAATATTTAGAAAACACATTTTATGTAAAATTAACTGACTCTTTGTGGATTGTGACAAATCCACAAATTACTGAAAAACATAAAAAAATTGTTTCACAAAGAAATAAATATCAGATTATGTATGTGGAAAAAGAGTGGGAATATTGATTTAAGTTTACACATCCACCCACAACCTTCAATATGTAAAGCAAAAGTTTTGACATTAGGCTTCATGATGTTTTTCTTGTTTTGTACAAATTGAAAAAAAAAAAGGAAATAAACGAATGTCTAATGAAATACAATTCCTTCAGGCTGTAATTTCTTAAACCTAGTCCAAGTTGCTATTTAAAAGATACAAAATGCTCTGAACAGATGAGACTAAAGTGATGTTTTTCTGACTTCCTGCTGACTTTATATTTGACTAATCATGTATTTTAGCCTGAACACACTTTCCTCAGGGTGAAGCATAACGGTGGCATCATGCTGTGGGAATACTGGGAAGCTGGCCAAAACTGATTAAACTGTAAACTAAACAAAAATACACAACAAAACATCAGCTTATTCAACATCACTCCATCATAATAATTTCCAAATTTCTTTTAAATTCAAATTTCCCTTAAAAGAAACCGCAAGATTATTAGTTAAAATTTTCTTTTCTGTGCATAAAAGTGAAGTTAGAACCTTAAAGGCTTTAAAAAACACTAAAATGATTGGTTTTGTTTATTGATGATCTTTCAAACTGCAAAGATTTATGATTAATATTTAATTACCCTCTACAGGTGTTTTACGCTTCTGGTAAAATATTACTCTTGACACTGCTAATAATGCATTAAACGTTTGATAGGAAGACTCTGAAGAGTTGGAGAATCTCCTCTGAGCTCCACAGCGTAGACAGGGAAGGGGAAACAAGATGAGAGATAAAGTCTGGTTTGACAGCGAGTCTGAGGGAATGTTTGACTTCATTCTGCGGAGAGGCGCTGACTGAGCGTAACGGTCTTCACTTTTAACTGATGCAAGCCTTTTGTTGCTTTGGAATAAGCCTGAGAGCGAGAGAGAGACGAACAAGACAGATTGGAGGAGGTCGAGTTAAAGCAGCATGAGGGAGAAGTAAAGAGAAGATCTCCAACAGATATATCAATAAACAATTGCTTCAGTGGCCTTTCGCTGTTAGAAACACTTCCCAAGTTATATGTTGAATCTCGTTCTCAAAACTTTTTGGTCAAAGTACTTAGGCAGAAGGAATGACTGCCATTGGGTTTAGCTGTCAAGTTGTCAACATAACATAAATCTTAAATGTAGGTGTGATATATAAAAGAAAAACACTACGACAACTATAACAAGGCCAGAAAAAAGCTTTTAGAAACAAAATAAATAGTGAGGGAGAGGGTATGTTATGCTTGCTTGACTTTAACAATCGTAAGATTTAGACAAGAAATTTGGTTTGTTTCGGTTCAGTTAAAAAATAAAATAACACCAACGTTGACAAATTGTCAGCAGCGCACTTGTTTAAATGAGCTAATCAACCGCCGCAGTATTAGCTTAGCTACTAGGATCAGTAGCCAATCCACCAAAACAAGCACTTATTAATAAATACATATCAAGCCTAAAAACATAAAAGTGTAACAGATTGCATGTTCTGTTCTTTGCATGGGAAATGTTTGAATGCTTTTTTTTTTTTTTTTGGTGCTGAATCTACGACACAGAGAGCAAGAAAAAAAAGTTGGTCTTGTTTTTCTGTGCTATTTTTTACCTCTGCTGTGCCGCACTGCCCTGACTCAACAGGTTTCATTTAGTCAACGTTATTGTTCTCCCACAGCACCGTGGCTGTGGACAGCATGGAAAAGAAAAGCCCTCCAGCTTTGTGCGAATGCACAAAATTTCAGGATGTAAACAACATGCAAAGGGTCCATAGCCTCCATGATAATTGATATTATCATCAATTAATTGATTAAAATATATAAGATATTATCATCAATTAGGCATATTTTAAAAAAAAATTAAGAGTTAAAGTTAAAAAAAAAGTCTGCTGGAAGTAGACAAGTATAATAGTCGGTAACAATGTCTAGAGCATTAAGAGACCCTAACAAAGAGTAGATGGAACGACAAAAACTTCTTCAGTTATTTGATAACAAATATGTTATCAAGAAACAAGATCTATTAAAAACAAGAAACAAGATGAACGCTTTCGCTCTCATGACAGCTGAGCCAGGCGAAGCGAATGGGAAGAGACTAATGGAGCAACCCTGGACTGAGATCATGTCGTGACGGGAAATGGCCACACCGTTGTCTCGTTCATCGCTGCCTTGTCCGTAAGTACCGCTATCCACCACAGTCAGCGGAACAGCGAGAGATCGGCTGTGCTTGGACAACGCGTCTGGCCCAGGGTGTTTGTGTTCACAGAGCGACAGTGCGGCTAGCTTGCTGTGGCTAGCTTGCTAACATCGCGGCTGCTAACCGGGACGAGGCCAACGCCCGGCAGCTAACCGACCTAACAGAGGAAAACCAGTGGAAAACGACACGTTGGATTGACAGCAAGCAGAGAAAGACAGCGAAGTGGCCTCCAACTGCTGAGCAGGAGCCTTAAGGAAGCGACAGGCAAAAAGAAGCGAAATAATGCCTCCAAAAGGATCCAAGACCGACGGGAGACAAGATGAGGACTATGTTTCACTCACGCAAGTCAAAGAGTTGCTGAGCCAGCAAAAGCAAATTTATATGGAGTTACTCCAACAACAACAGGACAATTTTAAGGGTTTTGTTAAAATCATTGTGGACACTACTAACACCAGAATGGACGCGATGACACGAGAACTACAGGACATTAAAACTAGCCTGCAATTTACACAGAAAGACATTGACGACATTAAAGTAGAAAGTGCTAAGTACAAGGCCCGAAGTGACACGGTGCAGTCAGACATATTTAAAGTATGTGAGGGTATGATGACTATCACTGATAAAATGGAGTACCTTGAGGGGCAATCAAGGAGAAATAATCTGGTTTTTGATGGAATTATTGAATCACCAAATGAGACTTGGGCTGAGACTGAGGAGAAAGTGAAAACTATTTTAATTGAAAAGCTAAACTTTCAACATAAGGTTGACATTGAGAGAGCTCACCGCACCGGTAAACATAGAGGAGACAGACCCAGGCCCATTGTTGTCAAATTTTTACGATACAAGGACAGATCAACTATTCTGCAGAGCACCAAGGCACTTAAGGGATCTAAGATTTTCATTAACGAAGACTTCACGGATGCAGTAAGGAAAAGGAGGGCGGAACTAATGCCGGACTTAAAAGCAGCACGTCAAAGAGGGGACATTGCTTACCTACGTTATGATAAGTTGATCACGCATCCACGTACTAGTACCCCTAAATTATCCAACAATGTATGACAGACAGCCAGACATAGTTGACGTTCACTTCTGAAAGAGAAACATGCAACAGATCACGGCCTATGAGGATATAGAGCTACCCGTATTCCAACACAGAAACTATCATCTGCAAGATATTGAAACTGACATTGATCCTGATTACAACTTTATAATGTCAGCAATGATAGTTGTCACTATTACAGCGATGATCAGTTCACAACAGCACGGAAGAAAAGCTGTCAATAATTCACTTTAATAGCAGAAGCCTTTATGCAAATTTTGACAGCATCAAACAATACCTCCAACAACTTTCACAGACCTTCAATGTTATTGCCTTATCAGAAACTTGGCTCAATAGTGATAAGGGCATAGACTTTGAAATCAATGGTTATGAAATGGTTTGTAAGAACAGAGAAAACAAAAATGGAGGGGGAGTAGCTTTGTATGTTGACAAGAAGATTAATTATAAGTTGATCGAAACAATGTCAACTGTGATGGACAACATGTTTGAATGTGTGACTATAGAAATACTCGTGGAAAAAAGGAAAAATGTCTTAGTGAGTTGCATTTATAGAGCCCCTGGATCAAACATTGAAGTACTCAACAACTGGATAGAAGAAAAATTTATAACAATTAATCAAAAAATAACATTTTTTTGTGGGGATTTCAATATTGACCTTCTCAATCCAAATAAACATAGAATGACTGAAGAATTTATTAACACCATGCTCAGTTTAAGCCTGTATCCTAAAATCACCAGGCCCAGTCGCATTACATCGCACTGCGCTACCTTAATTGATAATATTTTTACAAATGTGCTGGAAAATAATTTAACTAGTGGAATATTAATGAATGACACAACTGATCACTTACCAGTGTTCATAGTCTACGACTGTAAGTGCAAAACAGACGATCAAAAAATAGAGACACATTACAGAAGGGTTACGTCTGAAGAGACACTAAAAGCTCTAGAAGCTGAGTTGTTAGCCTATGATTGGAGATTAATATATAAAATGAATGACGTGAATTCAGCATATGAAGAATTTTTAAAAACATTTAAAATATTATATAACAAGCACTGTCCATTCAAACAATATAACAGGAAATGTAATCAAAAAAATGAACAGTGGATCACAAAAGGAATACAAAAGGCATGTAAAAAGAAAAACAAACTTTATAGAGAATTTCTAAAACATAGAACGTCTGAATCAGAAAACAAATACAAAAAATATAAAAATAAGTTAACTAATATTATAAAAACATGTAAAAAGGACTATTATCATACATTACTGGATAGGAATAAAAACAACATTAAGGAAACATGGAATATTTTAAATAGAGTTATTAGAAAATCTAACAATAACAACTATCCAAACTATTTCATAGATAATGAACAGAATATTACCGATTTGAAAAGTGTCGTCAATAAATTTAATACATTTTTTGTTAATATAGGACCTCAATTAGCAGAAAAAATACCGACTACAAAAACTGCAACTCAGCAATATCTAATTGAGAATAATCCCAGCTCCTTATATCTCAGCCCTGTACAAGAAGAAGAAATCATAAACATTGTGAATAACGGTAAAAATAAGACTTCCACTGACTGTGATGATCTGGACATGAAAACTATTAAAATAGTAATTAAAGGTATCTCTAAACCACTAACTTATATTTGCAATTTATCATTTCAAACAGGATTATTTCCCAACAAAATGAAAATAGCTAAGGTCAAACCAATGTATAAAACTGGCGACAAACACCTCTTCACTAACTACAGGCCTGTGTCTCTTCTCCCACAATTTTCTAAAATCCTGGAAAAACTATTTAAGAAAAGACTGGAACAATTCATAGAAAAACATTCACTACTTATCAGCAGTCAATATGGATTCAGAGCAAACCGGTCAACATCACTGGCCGTAACTGACTTAATAGAAGAAATAACCAACGCAACAGATAGTAAAAAACTGGCAGTAGGGATATTTATAGATCTAAAGAAAGCTTTCGATACAATAAATCATGAAATCTTACTTAAAAAATTAGAACGCTATGGAATTAGGGGAGTAGTTTCTGACTGGATGAGGAGTTACTTAAAGAGCCGGAAACAATTTGTGAAATTGGGAGAGGTGGAATCTGATTGGCAGGAGACTGTCTGTGGAGTACCACAAGGATCAGTATTGGGACCAGTTTTATTTAATCTTTATATAAATGATATCAGTAAAGTGTCCAATGTATTAAAATTTATCTTATTCGCTGATGACACAAATATTCTAGCCTCTGGCGACAATTTAGAACATCTTCTCTCAACAGTCACTTCAGAGATTAGTAAGTTAAAGATATGGTTTGACCATAACAAATTATCCCTAAATTTGGACAAGACGAAAATCATGGTCTTTGGGAACTGTTATAAAAATACTGAAATCCAAGTTCAAATAGAGGACGTAACTCTACAAAGGGTTTTTGCTAATAAGTTCCTCGGTTTAATAATAGATGACAAAATCAGTTGGAAACCTCATATTAAATATTTACAGAGTAAACTCAGTAGAAGTATATCCATATTGGCTAGAGCTAGACATGTATTGAATGCTAAATCACTTCATATTCTATATAACTCCCTGATTTTACCATACCTATCATATTGCTGTGAAGTGTGGGGAGTTAATTACAAGAGCTCTTTACATCCGGTAACCGTCCTACAGAAAAGAGCCATTAGAATCATCCATAATGTCGGTTATTATGACCATACAAATCCGCTCTTCATAAAATCCAGAATTCTCAAATTCGACGAGCTTGTAGAATTTAAAATGGCTCAATTTATGTTCAAAATATCTAAACAGCTGTTACCTGAGCACATACAGAGCACGTTTTCTGAAAGAGAAGGGGGGTATAACTTGAGGGGTCACTCAAACTTCAAGATCCGCAAATTCAGAACAACAAGGAAAAGCTTCTGTATTTCAATTACAGGTGTAAAGTTATGGAATAAGTTACATGAAGATTTAAAACAAAGCAACAGTTTAACGCAATTCAAAAGAAAGTACAAAGAGGTAATTTTCAATAGATACACATACGTGTAATAGAAAGCAATAAGGTGTGTATTGCAGATAACTTGGTGTAAGGGTTAAGAAAGACAAACCAGTATAAAATGGGAAAATGAATAGGTAAATATTAGTAACTGTTACTTCTGACTGACACTTTGATTTTGATTTTTTTTAATGACAGTAGGATTCTACAGTCTCAAGTGTTTAGGGGTAGGAGTTTATAAGTTCTCACTTCTTCCTACCCCATTTTGAGCATGATATGTCAACTGAAACAAAAAATCTGTATTTTCTCTTCTTTCTTATGCACTTTTTGTTACTGTGCACTATTTTATTTTTATATTTGTATCATGTTCGAATAAAATTTCATTTCATTTCAATTTCATTTCATTTCAATACCACATAGGTGGACATAGCTGATAGTTGTTTTTGTTTGTTTGAGTAATGGTTACAATCCCTGATACGTTCATAAACCGTCCAGCAAATAAAAATCTCAATGGAAACAAGGTGTAAAAATTTCAGACAATAAAAACGTAGATAAATCAATATGTGACATTCAACCTCTTTTACGAGTATTCTTTAAAATATGCAACAATGAAAAGTGTTTAACGACACATGTTCAGTTCTTTAAAGACAAAATGTTATTAAAATCTGACAAATTAATGACAAAATGTTATTAAAATCTGACAAATTAATGACAAAATGTTATTAAAATCTGACAAATTAATGACAAAATGTTATTAAAATCTGGCCTGCTGCGTCGTTTATCCTTTGTTGTTCCTGCAGTATGGCATCAAGAAGAAGGAGGAGAAGGAAGCCGAGGCGGCTGCTGCCATGGAGCAGGCCTCAGAGGGCAGCCTTACCCGCCCTAAAAAGGCCGTCCCCGCCGGCTGCGGCAACGAGGAGGAAGAGGAGAGCATTGTGGATACTGTCATGAAATTCATTCCAGCCCCTCTGATGGATATGTTCAATAAAAAGTAACAGGGTTTTACTTGGAAATATGGTTAACTTCTTACAAAATCCTTCTAATTAATGCTGTACCAGCCTGTCCCACTCCAACCTGCCGTCACACTCTTCTTCACACTTGTCCAATCCCATCAAACCAAATACTAAGTGTCCTGGAATTACGCAGTGTGCCATGATTTTGTCTTTGAGCTGAACTAGCCAATCTCAGAAAGTGATTCATACTTTTAATATCATGACAAGAGAATTATCGGGTTTGAAAATTACAAAAACACCTACATATATCGCTTTATTTAACATCTTTTCAATCCATTTCTCAGAATCAGTCCAAACATTGCCGACAACCACTTTTTTGTTTGTAAATAGCCTAAATAATATAAAAGAGTACTATATATGAGTGAAATACTGTATGATATATAACAAGAATACTAAGAGTATAAGCCATATTTTTAACTTTTAGGGAATTATCCAAATCATATCAAATTTAATTAACATTTAATTTTCCTTTTACGTTCCTGCTAATTTTTGATACATAGTGTACAGAGACACATGCATTTTTTTTATTGGTTCTTCGTTGTGGCCATTCACCCTTAAATTGATCATTATGTGAATGTGAAATATGAACATGACATTTTAAATGTGTAAAATCAAAGTCAAGTAAGTTTGTGAAGTGAAGGAATTTATTTCTGTTGAAATTTGTTTATTTTGTATGCATGCATTTAATACCTATGAGGCGATGTGCATATGCTGATTTCATTTGTAGTCATGAAAGAGAAGATGTTGGTATTTCAGGCAATAAATTATTTAATTAAAATATTTCATTCAGCTTCACTGTACATTAGGAGATAACTGATTGTTCAAAATGTTCTTCCATGGAGAAACATTTTCTCTATATGTAAAAGCCTGTTTTAAAACAGGAGGGTAAAATTAGATGAATTCAAAAAGTTCACTGGTTATATTATATTTGATTGTGGCTTAGAAAACTTTGTTTTTGCCAGTGTTAATTAGTCTTCTTTTAAAGCAAGACATGTAAAAAAAAATTACCTGGCTGGTTAATTTGAAGCTGTGAGTAACATCTCTGTGTTTTCTTATTTTATTTTAATGTAAAAAAAAGAAAAAGAATAGAAACTTCACAAACACAACTATGTTGTGTAAACACTATATGTGGACAGACAGTGACAATAGTGCAATATCTTGTTCAAAATGAAGTTGTCCTGTGTCTGTTGGTTTAACAAATGGGAGTGAAGTCCCAAATCAGCAATAACAGACAATCTTCATTGTTTTGTGTTTCAAAGTTACCCCTAAATGTGTTAGTCGATGTTAACACACATGTCAACGTACTGTAGCAGTGAAAGTTTTGTAGGTCAGACACATTTAATTAAAGAGGGAAAGTGGGACAATTTGCTTCATCTCATAAAAGTGTTTTAATCACATGAGCATTTATCAACTGGAAATTGTTCACTGTAATGAGGAAGGCTAACACAATGAGAAATGATTCACAAAGCTTCATGGCCCAACAAGGCACAATATTTAATATTACGACAAATTCTAGTCTGTTGTGCCAGGAAATAGCTGCACAAATTCAAATACCTGTACAAATTCTTTTTTTATGCCTTTGTTTTTAGTTTTACTTCATTCCAGAGTATCTTGTCGAACATTCCAGATATTTCTTGACATTCCACCAGATTTATGCTGGTAATCCAACTACTTAATTACAGATGATTGGAGTAGGCCTCAGTCAATGCCTTTTTTGCCTTTCAGACAAATACATCACAATGTAAACCTTAAACTATTTGTGCTTTTATAAGTCAAAAATTTAAGATTGACTCCAATCTACAGTTAAACAGATGAGATGTGTGCCAATTAAAGGGTAATTTTAGCTGCCATGTACAGAAAAGCCCAAAATCAAATCTCTGTAATCATCAATGCGCTTTTGAAAACAGTAACTTAGATATTGTGGTAGATTTTGTTACTGGATGTTTTGTGATCCACTTGGGCACAGTAGGTGTAGTTGTAGCTGAGGTTTTAAAAGCCACACATTTTGCCTCGATGTTGCAGAACTTGTGTATTCCTGTTCCTTCTGTAAGGGTTTTAGTTTTTGTTTTGTGTTTTGTAAACTGTATATTTATTTAAAATACAGTATAACACACAACACTGGTGTAATGCCACCCATAGAGCACATTTATTTAACGTCTTGTGACTTCACGGCATTTGTAAACTGCCAGCCGCTGTGGCAACATTATGTTAGCAGTCAACCATCTGATAGTTGTTGCCATGTTGGGGAGCAGTTATTTAATTATACCAAAGAATAGTGATGTTGATAGCAGATTTAGTAAAAGATCTTTCATTTTTGTTTTAGTAAATTCTCAGGTATTATAGCTTGATGTTTGATTAGTAGGCGTTAATTACAGCTGTTGTTGAATTACCGTCAATATAAAGACATATTAGTTTCATTGCTAACAACTTAGCTTGTCAACAGCTACTATTAGTTTTGAATACATTCATCTAAATAGTAGTTGGGCTACCTAAAATACTGCTAAGCAGTGACATAAAAGTAAAAAAAAGGAAGTCATATTTAACATATTTGGTTTAAACCTGATGGATTTTGATGGCATGAAGTCCAGTTTCACAGCTAGCTAGAAACCAGGTTTAGCTAGCTAGACAGCTTTTTTAGCGACCTCGGTTTAGCTAGTTCTTTAAACCTAGGTTTAGCTAACCTTGTCTAAATTGGGTTTAGCTAGTTTAGCTAGCAAAACCTAGCTTTATTTAAAGCAAGCAAGTTGCTCTATTATGACATTTGATTTTTAATACTTTAACTCAAGAAAATATTTTAAAAGCTTCTATTCCTGCCTTGAATAAGTTCCCAAGCAACAAAACTTAAACTGGTGAATTTATTTGCTAGCAACTTACCTTTATTGTTCACAACAAAAGTCTTTGTTTTGTTGTGAACAAGTTTTTATTGTTGGTCTAATGGTATTTTATTAATATAAATTTATGTCTTTAATAAAGTAGTTTCATTTCTTGCATCCTACCTTATTGATGGCAAGCCAGTTAGCGCATATTAACTTTAATTTAATAAAATCCTTAGCCCGGGAATATTTTTGAAACTTTATTACTCCCTTAAATCAAGCAGTCCTGTCGCTTGTAACATTTTGACTGATATAAAGGAAATACATAGATAGTTAACTATGATTTTTGAATCTATTGCCCAACTCGATCGCTACAAATCCTGCCCTTGTTAAAGCCCTTGCTAATAGTGAGAAACTGCCTGATCTAAAAAAGAAAGTTATAATTATTGCCTTTTAGTTAACATACTAACTTTTATTTTGGAATATCTTCAATCCCAGATTTGTTAGAAACTTAATAACTGCCTTAAAAACAGTCTGATCGCTAGTGACCTGGTTTTCTTACTTAGGCCACAGTGACATTTACTTTTATCACGTTTGGTCTTAAAATGTTTTAGAAAGCTACAATTACTGCCCTTGTAATGATGCCAAACAACAACATCTTAGCAAAAATCATGTTATTCAAAAGTATTTTTCAAATTAATAAAAACCCAATCACTGTCTGCATCTAATATTCCACCAAATACAGTCATGAACATTTTTGTCATTATCTTCTAAAAAGAAAATTGATTGCTCTCCTGCTGCCCAAACAAACTGCCCAAGCCCTGGTGGAAGTCAACATGTTGCCATTTTGTGAATGTTGAGTCAAAAGCCCACAACAGTTGAAAGTCACCTATTAATGTCACTCATACACTCATTAGTGGGTTTTTAAAAACTGCCTGAATATGAATAACATGGCTTCTAGAAGAATAATCCTTTGATGTGACTTGAATGTAAGTGTCTGACATTTCTCTCTTCTTGCATCTGTCTTTTCTCTGTTCTGTATGTGCTGAGGAGATGCTATTTCTGGTGCCGTTTTTTCTCCCTGTCCGTTGTCAGTCCTGTTTTCTGTCCTCTGGTGGCTGGTATTCTGTCGAAAAGAAAAAAAGAAATATGTTTATTTGCTGCATTATTTTGTACTGCAAAAATCTCCTCACCTTTCTCCCAGCCCCTTCCTCTCTGTATCCTCCTTATGTGTTGACAAAAGTGTATGCATGCTTTTGGTGTGCGATGTAGGCAAGGTACTGGATATAAACGTTTCGTGTCCTCTGTGTTTCAAAGCTCCACCTGTTAGCCTCACTGCATGCTATTTTAGACAAATATTTCAATATGTAACTTTCCTGCAAAAGTGGAATCACTGCACACTGAGAATAAAGTGATTTCATATAATGTTTTATAGTCTTGTGTTTATGCATTCAAACTGTTAAAATGCAAAATGCAAAACACAAAATCTTACCAAATAATTTTGGTCTACAAATATTTGAGTACACTTGAAATAAGAGAAAACAAATTTAGCAATTTTTCAGCAAGATATGAGAGGTCGTTTTAGGTGAATAATTTCTTAATATTGATGAAAATGCATTAAGTCTATTGGTAGACATTTTCCCCATAATTTTACAATAGAACAAGTACTTTTTCAATATTAAGAAGTTATTGACCTTTAACAAGCTCATATTTCTTGAGGAAAAGTACATTTTCTCTTGTTTCAACAAGACCAAAATATCTCCGTAAGATGTTGTGTTTTTGCACTTTATGTATTTGGTTTTGAAACCACTGGTATTTCTGCTTTCTGGTAAAAATCAACTCTATATTTCTGAGACTAGGACTTAGCCTTATGGTTGTGGTTCATCCCATTGCATGACGATCAGCTCAACCTTTAGTGTAACCCACATGTAAATGTGTCTGTCAGTAAATACTGTTTTTCATTCTCGGCATGGCTTTATTTTTTCTTTTAACTGGGATTTTAACATCAATAAAACTGAAAAGGGCTGTAAACAGAATGCAGTGTGTCGTTCAAATCATGACTGAAGACAGACCTGACTTATGATTGTCTCACAGTGACTGCATGGACATCAAACAGATAAAATTAGCATCTCTGCTGTATAAGCTGTTTGATCTAAGTGGGTCTTTGATATGAGAAAATCCCAAAAATTCAAATGCCACGCAAGGATTATGGATTACAACTCTTTAAATTTGGTTTATTTCTGCTCAGAAAATTAATCGATTGTTATGCCAATGGTTAGGTAACCAGGTTTGAACTTTAAATTAGCTTTTTATTATTTGTGAGATTTTTATTTCTAATAAATTGTTCATAAAATGATCATTTTAGCCCAGATTGGAAGTTATTTATTTTTACTGTGAAAATTACCTTTTAATTTTGTGTTGCAAACAAGTCAATCCAGCAAATCATATAAACACAGTAAAAATAAAAGCATTTTCTTATGCATGATGAATTAGGCTCCATGTGTTGTTCCTTGCACTGGATGAAGCTAAATATTTCTTACTGGCTGCTGCAACAGATGTTGAATAAGTCATGCAGCTCCTCATATGCAAAATAGATTCGTCAAATGGGCACTTATGCAAAATTAAACAGAAATATGTCTAGCAAATTAATATAAGTTTTAATATTTGTGAAATTAAACCATAAGCAGTTTTAATTTGAACTATAACCTTTCAAATTCTTCTTCTTTTTCTTGCTAATATCACTTTAATTAAGATTAGCCAGTGGATTGCTAATTGTGAGGAGGGAGCATTCTGTTATATTATCTTCACATCTGCAGGTACTGCTGTGAAAATACCAAACTGTTTTGGTGAAATGTCCTCGGTAATAAGCTTCAGGTCTTTGCCATCACCCTAATCTTTATCTTCCTCCACATATTTGGGTCATTCTCACACCGCGAATATTAAGAATTACACTTACAAGATTAAGTGTAATTCTGCCTGGGGTATGAGTAGTTTTGGGGATCTTTAAAGTGGACTTTTCACCCTGATCATAACCTCTTAGTGGCACCACTGGATGCTTTTTTTGCAATAAATTAAAAGTGTCAACCACTTCAAAATCCAGATGTTTGAAAACAGTTCAAAGCATTAAAAATGCTACAGGTACTGCTTCTGTGGCAATAAAGGCAAAAGCAATGAAGCAGATGTCAGAATGTGTTGTGATTTATTTTGTTTTAGGGGGGACAGCAGGAACACAAACTGCTCTCTAAAATTGCAATTTAAACCTAAATACACAATACTGGGCAAAATTTTATTGAACCAAACAAAACACATAGTTCTGTTCGGGATGTGAACAGTTTGCAGTAGATTTGTTAGTCACAGTGTTTTAGGACACAGGCTCATTTTTCTAGTCGTTATCCTGTTTAGCTTAGCATAGCTTAACTGTATATAGCTATTTTTAGTGCTGTTTTGCTAACTATTCATCTGATCAGCTTAAAGTGAAAATTATTGAACCATTATAGATTACAGATTGTAAACAAATGTTTAATTAACTGTTTTGTGCAGTCATCCTTTCCTTTCATTAATCATACACTAAAGATGGAAATTAGCTACTTTGCTATTATGTCATTTATTTGTAGGTAAATGTTAAAATGTATCTAATTTCAAACAGTGAAAAAAGGTTTTTATGCTCCTTTTGTTGTTTCACAACAAAAGGAGCATTTTTGTCATGTACTGACAGATAAAATGCTAAACTATGATCTGATTTACGACCAGTTTTCTCTCATACATTTTACATTTTGACACCAGTCGACGCAGCAACATTTCCAGTTCAACATTTCTCCATCTAATTGCCCTGATTTTCACCTAATCCACCTCCTCTGAACACTGTTAATGGCTCAGAACCTGGCTGCTCATTCTGCAGCAGGACTGCGATATATCTCGTGGTTTTACTGCGCCCCTGCCTTTCCGCCACTTCAGGCTGTTGAACACACACGAGAACGCCGCCTCCTCAAGTCTCCCAGCAGGAAATGGAGGTATAAATCAATTCCATTAGTATTCATGCTTTGAGGTAGCCTTTTCAGACCAAGCTGCCTTTGTGCTCTCTGAACAGCACTCTGGCTGCAGGAAAGTCACAGCTCTATTGCTGTCCTGTAGACATGAAACAGTCACTGTCAATTAATCACTCTCCGCTGGGCACTGGCTCACAGTCATGTACCCCAGCTGGTATGCACCATCCAGACACTAATTTATCTTTAGAGCTGAGAAAGTTGATTATAATAACAATCGTTAATTTAGATTTTTCTGTGATTAAATTAATTTGCTCTTTTTGTGTTGAGATAAGATGTCTATCACTTTGAAGCCTCAGTTTTGGGTTTTCACTTTAAATAGATAGTCAGAACTATCCGTTCAAGGAACTGAGGCACTAAATAGAGCTTGATTGTAAGTAGCTGCCTTTTCCACTGACTACTGGCGGAAACAACAAAGATGACAACAGAAAGTAGAGGACGATGGCTGAGAATGTTTTTTAATGACCTATTGCATGAACAAACTTATTTAAGTGTGATTTTAATCCAATTTCTTTCTCAATGAAAACATAGCAATTGACACATTTTTGTGACAAAACAAATTTGTAATGGAGACCTGAATCCTACTAAGAATCAGAAGAATAAGCCGAAGCTTTGATTTATGTAGTCTTTTTTAGTTTTGGTTTAAGATTTATGGGAAAAATCATAATAATGAAAAAACACACTGTGCATAATAACTCCATCAGTGCTGTCACATATCTTTATTAGAAAATTGATACACAAAGATTTATGCCACAATGTGTAATAATAGCAGAATCAGGCTTCAAAATGTAATAAACCATTCATGTCACATCATATAAAGATGAAAAATGCAATCAATTTCTTGAACATATTTTGCAATAGTTTCTGCCGAATATGTAATAACATTATTAAATGCACTGCTGATTATTTTGACGTTCTATAAATGATCATTTAATAATGTGGAGATAAACAATGACTAACTTTACGTGTTCATCCTTATTATTATACTTCTAATAAAGATAATGTTGTAGATGAAATTTTGGTAATTAAATGGCAAACATTTAGTTTCTTTTTCAGACAATGCAAAATGATTCAAAATGTGTTCAAGTATTTTATTTTTGAAGCCAGTCTTATTGCATTATTACATATCGCTGGATTACGTGTTTTACTATGAATGCTGATTCTGCTCTTATTTGCATATGCTGTTATTCAAATGAAGTTTTGTGAGATTTTCTGAGTCATATCAACTCCATCAGGCAGCTGCTTGACTGCTGTGACTCTTGAAATGCTTCTTCCTCCGCCTTCCAGCTCCGAATCTACAGGACCTGAATAGCTATCGCCGCATCCCAGAGAGACTCTGATTGACAAGTCCATTGCCTTGAAATCTCAGCAGCCGCAGCAGCTCAGATGAAGCTATTATAGGTCTATTTAATGAATAAAGTAGCGCTGAGACGTTGCTCACCCACATCAGCAATTGGCATGGGAGCTGTTTCTCCATCCACCTTGGTGACAAGAGGTTTGACGTAAGGCATTCAATTTAAACACAGCTCTCCAAGGGGACAGTCCTCCATTTCGCCGTGTTAGAAAGTGCAGACAAAATGAGCTGAAATCGGATTTTAAATGTCCGGTAAGGAAAACTCCTGACCTCAATTAGTGAGTATTCCTCCCCTGGGTCTTAGCTGCTAGCTGCTGCATGATGATGCCAAGAATTTGGCTTTATCTGTCTGCAAATAAATCCTCACAGACTGAAGGTATGAATATTGTAGGTGAAGCTCATGAAGATGTAAACAGAACGTTCTGTTCAGTCTATAAATACTTATCTGCATTTAACACTCTTTGTTGTGTGAAGCTGTCAGCTGTGCACTGCTATGCTTGTCACCAGGAAACTAGGTGTAGAGCAGATCTGAATAAAAACGTTAAGATAGTTGAAACTGTTGTTTCCGCTTGTTTTTGATATTTATGCTGAAAAATAATAGGAAAACCCTTAACACTGTGACAGCTCATCATGCTTTAGGCATCAGATGATTAAATAATGTGTGCAGAGAAAATTCATGCATAAGTCATCTCCCAACCATAAACTACTTCATTAAACAGTTCAATTGAAAAATTATTTGTTAGATTTTTGACATTTGGTCAAGGTGAAACAACGGTGTTTGCTCAGTCCCTCCTGGATTTTGTGATTGTTTCTGTGATTTGTTGTAATCAAAATCATCATTTGTGGAGGAGAAACTGAAGAACTATTTGCAAGGTTTTCCATTCTCTTCTCTTCCATTTTGTAAAATGTGCAAAATAATTTTCCAGATTCTCATGAAGAACAGTGAACTGTCCTTTCATGTATGAAAGTGACTTTTTGATTCTCAACATATTGATAACAAATTATAACACCATCAAGTGAGGCAGAGG